TATTTCATCAACTTAAACCATAAAGATTATTTTAGTTAAATAAGAATTTTTCCCACAGAAAAACCATACATAGCTGAAATTATACTGAGGGAGAAAAGAGATCTTCTCTCTTCTCCTGTAACTTTGATAAACATTCTCTGATTATCAAAATGCCTACTACTTTCAGTTAAGAGAGCAATAAATCAAATAAGAGAAGATTCTTCTGTTTATTATCATTTAGAAGGAAAGTGGCCTTGGGTGGCCTAAATACAGTTCTAAGTGGACCAGAGTTTTTGTCCATTCGAAGGCCCATCAGAGGACTGAGAGTCCAAGATAGTTCCTTGATAATTTGACTCGAGGTGACCCCTACACCATGTATTCTCGGTTGGAATATTTCATTTGTCAGGCACAGTCTGAAAAAAATGTAATCAATAAAATTTGCATCAAACCATATCTGCTTCTGGATGCCTTTTTTGCAAGAGGGTAAATTTGACTACAAACAGCACTGGCATGTAAGCTACGTACAGTCATAGGCTACAACGACAAGCAATGGTGCACTGATTCACACATGAGGGCTGTATTTTGTATTTTGTTGCCCATTGTGTAATGATTGTTTGGAGGTGCTCATRCATTGTGTCAAAGTTGAGTTGTTTGAAGGCAAAATTTGCTTTTGTTCCATATTTTAAATGTTTTGACACAGTTGTTGCCTTTTGCAAACAAAATGTGTCATTTTGACCGCTGTGTCACTGTTCAGGCCTCTGCGTTAACTGTTTTGAAAATGTGGGTTTTGAGTTGACGGCTGCGTCAAAACAATCAATAAAAATTGTAAAAGGAGATCAGTTCCACTCACACCTTCACTGGAACATCAAGTGCTAATGGTACTGTTCACAGCCGCTAAACTATTTGTTTACTATTTTGTATCCCTTAAGTTTATTGCCTTGCTCTTGTGTGTCCAGGATTATTGCCAAGTCTTCCTGTTGGAAACCTCCTTGTGCCAAGCTCTGTCTTTGAAACCACTTCTGGTAACTGGTACTCACCTGTGGGTTGAGATCAGCTGACTGACTTGGCCATTCAAGAATATTCCATTTCTTTGCTTTAATAAACTCCTGGGTTGCTTTGGCTTTATGTTTYGGGTCMTTGTCCATCTGTAGTATGAAACAGACCAATCAGTTTGGCTGCATTTGGCTGATCTGAGCACACAGTCTGGCTCTGAATACCTCAGATTTCATTGGGCTGCTTCTGTCCTGTGTCACATCATCAATAAACACTAGTGACCCAGTGCCACTGGCAGCCATGCATGCCCAAGCATCACACTGCTCTGCTGTGTTTTACACATGATGTGGTGCTTTGGATCATGAGCTGTACCATGACTTCACCAGACTTTTTTCTTTCCATCATTCTGGTAGAGGTTGATMTTGGTTTCATCTGTCCAAAGAATGTTCTTCCAGAACTCTGCTGCTTTTTTAGATGTTTTTAGCAAAGTCCAGTCTAGCCTTTTTATTCTTGATGCTTATTACAAAAGGCTTGCACCATGAAGTGAACCCTCTGTATTTACTTTCATGCAGTCTTCTCTTTATGGTAGATTTGGATATTAATACTTCTACCTCCCGGAGAGTGTTGTTCACTTGGTTGGCTGTTGTGAAGGGGTTTCTCTTCACCATGGAGATTATTCTGCCTTCATCCACCACTGTTGTCTTCTGTGGGCTCACAGGTCTTTTTGCATTGATGAGTTCACCAGTGCTTTCTTTCTTTCTTTCTCAGGATGTACCAAACTGTAGATTTTGCCACTCTTAATATTGTAGCAGTTTCTCGGATGGTTTTTTTTCTTCTATTTTTGCAGCTTAAGGATGGCTTGTTTCACCTGCATGGAGAGCTTCTTTGACCGCATGTTTACTTCACAGCAAAACCTTCCAAATGCAAGCACCACACCTCAAATCAACTCCAGGCCTTTTATCTGCTTAATTGAGAATGACATAATGAARGGATTGCCCACAYCTGTCCATGAAATAACCAGTCAATTGTCCAGTTAATTTTGGTCCCTTTAAAAACAGGTTGGCACATGTCAAGGAGCTGAAACTCCTAAACTCTTCATCAAATTTTAATGTGGATACCCTCAAATGAAAGCTGAATGTCTGGACTTTATGTCCATGTACATTATATAACTATAACTTGAACATGTTTCAGTAAACAGGTAAAAAAGACAAACATTTTGTCAGTGTCCAAATACATATGGACCTAACTGTATAGGTCTGTAGTGATCATCTTTCCAGTGGGTCTAACTATTCATTCATCCTAAATGATTGACAGCTGGCTTGAACAAGCCTCCCAGTTTAAGTGTGGCCTGACGTTTGAGCAAATGATTCCAGCTGTTTACAGGCTTGTTGAAGATCAGTTTAGAGCTGATATCCTGGATTTGACTTTATTTAAAGGAGCCCCTGATTAGCAAAAAGTGTTTAGGAAGTGAAGCTGCTGCCTGATCTGTCCAACAGTACCCTCTAGTGGGAGTTCATAACAGCATTAGAAGCTTAAAATGAGAGCTGTAACCCACAGTTCATCTCTGCTGCTCAATTAAT